GGCTTACTATTATTTTTATGGTGAAACAATAAGTTTTATTATATTTATTTCGTAACAACTATTGGGACCTCGATTGGGTGAGCTTAAAAGCTTACTGATTTTGAACAAGCAATGATCGTTTGTTAATGCTTTTTATAATGAAATCACATAGCGTCCAGATCTATTAAATTTTGGCATCTTGAACTTAAGAAAATGCTCAGAGTTAGGTAATTCCATGAATTTTGTATCTAAATTTCATCATCAGTTAAATCTCAGACATAGCAACCAAACTTAAATTCTAGGAGTTTTAATTTTATAATTTTCCTGAATTCTGAAAAATCAGGTTAAAATTTAATTTCATCAAGTTTTTAAGACACCGGATTTCGAATGTCATGATTCTGATGTTTGAAGAGAAAGGAAAGTAAAAAAGCATTTACCCAGATCAATTTTTCATTCGATGCATTGGACTAACTAACATTTGGAGTTATATATAAACACAAAATTGAACTTTAATTCTAATCGAAATGAATGAAATTGAAACTTAGATGATTTTGTCACTGTTTGTAACTAGATACTAATTATATATATTTGAGAAAAGTTTTTTTTTTAATTTTTAATGAAGCTAGTTTTGGTTGAGCCCATTCAGTACCAATTTGCTCCTTTAACTTCTTCGAAGCTCCTCAAACTTAAATAAATTTTCCACTTCTACGCAGTTTTCAGAACTTTTACAATTTCCTTGTTTCTACGATTTTATCTAAACATCTATGAAGTTCCCAGAATTTCTACTACGTTTCCTCAATTTCTACGATGTTTCCTGAACTACATAGAAGTCCTTGAAGTTTTACGAACTTCCCAGAAGTTAAAGACTAATCCCTGGGCTCATTGCCAATTTGTAGAGCCTGAAGACGTGTTATTTTGCCATCGATTAAATATCGATATAATATAATTTCTCAAATTTGTTTCTTCTAGTCCAGAACATAAGAAAAGTAGTCAACACATTATGGGCTTTAAAAAAATTGTTGTTTGTGATCCAATTTGATTGACCACTGTTAAATAGTAACGTTGAACTTGACAAGCTTTACAAAATACCGGTGAGTTAAAAAAAAACACCGGAAATTCTAAGCGGTGGGGGGGGGGGCTTGATAATTCTGGAAGGGGCCTGACCCCCCTGGCACCCCCATTAGCTACGCCAATGGAATTGGTCTCTAGATACGCTAACTTAACGAAAGGCACAGTATAGCAAAAAGGAGCTTAAAATATGAAGTCAAAATCTTCATTAGGAAAATTTTTCACATGCCTTTTTAACATTCAAAAAGCCTTCGGAAGCTAGTTCGGAAGTCTTCACAAAACACGAAATGTCTTCAAAATTTCTGCAGAAAAAAATCTGAGAATTTCAAATGTCTTCAACATGAAAACATCTGGGGGGGACGTGCTGTCCAATCAGCCTACTGATCATCTTGTATGAAACTGGTTCCAAACGTAAACAAACGCTGTAGATTTCTTATGGCTTGTTTACGTTTGGAACCAGTTATGCGAGGTAGGCGACGATTGTTCGTATTTTAAAGCCATCTCCCCCCCTTGGAAAACATGTCTTCAAATCTCTGCTCGTGTCTTTTTGATGGTACTGTAATCCCCCCAAGAGCGCGGTAGGTAACAAGCAGGGTTATGCATTTTCGAAACAAAGAAAAGAAAATGAACGCCGGCGCCGGTGGTGTAGTGGTAAGCGTGACTGCTTTCTAACACCCCAATGGGTCTGGGTCCAATCCCAGCCGAGGTCGGTGGGATTTTTCTGAGGCATAAAAGTCTCTGGTCACGTCTTCCTTCGGAAGGGGAAGTAAAGCCGTTGGTCCCGGCCCATGTGTGTAGAATGGGTGCGATATTCTACGCAGGTGTGGAAGCTGCCTTCCTGCACATTCGATTGCCGTCAATGGATGGATGAACTCTCCGCAGAATCGTTTCATTTCGAGCAATATCATTTTCGTGTAAGTCATTGTGTTTCTTGTTATCGAGTCACGGTGAAAATTCCTCCGTTTAAACATGACTATCGCTTGTTTTGTTCGTCAAGTGCTTCAGTTCATTTCATTTGAAGCAAAGACTTGTTTCAATTGACGCAATGAATGACTTGAAAACTGATACAATCGTTTTTTCCACTTTCACTTCAATTCGGGCTCATTCGACTTGTCACGCATCGCGTCGTCGGCATACAAATATAGCATCCGGATTATAAGTAGTAATAATATATTATTTTATGTTAATTAACGAAGCTATTCTGGAGTTCAAGATGGCGGCCATCGAGGTCAGGAAAAGTCTCAAATACCCTACAATATGGGTATTTTCGGAACGGGGATGACGCGAAGGTACCGAAAATCGATATCCGACGCCATTTTGGAATCCAAAATGGGGACCATCGGATTTCAGAAAAAGTGTCAAATATCCTACAATAGGATATTTTCGTCGATATTTTCGGAACGATGATGGCACGTAGATGCTAAAAATCGATACCCGACGCCATTTTGGAATTCAAAATAGTGACAATTGGTTTTCGGAAGTGTCAAATACCCTAAGATATGCGTATTTTAGGAACGGGAAAAACGCGTACATGTCAAAAATCCGACACTATGTTGGAATCCGATATGGCGGCCATCAGGATTCAAAAAGTGTCAAATACCCTACAATATGGGTATTTTCGGAACGGGGACAACGCGTGGATGCCGAAAATCGATATCCGACACTATGTTGGACGCCAATTTGGCGGCCATGGGGTTTCAGAAAAGTGTCAAATACCCTACAATATGGGTATTCTCGGAACGGGGACAACGTGTAGATGCTGAACATCGATATCCGATGCCATGTTGGAATCGAATATAACGGGGCTTAGAAAGCGTCAAATACCCTACAATATGGGTATTTTCGGAACGGGGACAACGTGTATATGCCGAAAATCGATATCCGATGCCATTTTGGAATCCAATATGGGGCCATCAGGTTTCATAAAAAGTGTCTACTATCAGGGTATTTTTCGGAACGGGGACCTTTCCGATTCCCACGACACGCGTAGATGCTGAAAATCGATATTCGATACCATTTGCAGACCATTTGACACTTCTTCTAAAATAAGAAGCCACCATATTGAATTTCAAGATGGCGTCGGGCATCGATTTCTGGCTTCTAGATGTCACCCCGATTAAAAAAAACCACATGATCGGTATTTGACAGTATTTCACAGTTTCTCTGAACCAAAGCCGCCATCTTGGATTTAAAAACGGTGTGACATCAATTTTCGGCATCTACGTCTCATCCCCATTCTGAAAATAACCATATTTTAAGGTATTTGACACTTTTCCGCACATCGGAAGTTGCCGTCTTGGATTTCAAATATATCGATATTTTCGGATATCGATTTCCGGCCTCTAAACGTCATACCGATTCCAAAAGTACCTGTATTGATGGGTATTTGACAATTTTTTTTAACTAGTTCGTTTATTTGGAAGGCTCAATCGCGTTAGCTTTACGGAGCCGATAGTTCATTGTTCTTTGTTTGTATCAAAATTCACTTAATTCTATGTCTAGTAGGAGTTGGGTATTTGACAATATTTCCCATTTGTTCTGAAATCGGAAGCCGCCATCTTGGATTTCTAAATGGAGTCTCTTTCCATTTTCCGATCTGTCGACTTCATACTGATTACAAAAATGTCAATATTGATGTGTATTTGTCTGTATTTTCACTTTTTCTTAAGTCGGAAGCCGCCATCTTCAATTTCAAAATGGTGGTGGATATCGATTTTCATCCTCTAGACATCATCCCGATTCCAAAAATACCTTTATTGATAGGTATTTGACAGTATTTCTTACTTTTTATTAAACTGGAAGCCGCCATCTTGGATTTGAAAATGGCATCGCATATCAATTTTCGATCTCTAGACGTCATCGCGATTAAAAAATACCCTTATTGATGGGTAAACAAACCACCGACAATGATAAATTTGACATCCACGTACACAGATCTATGAGCATACGCATACGCATACGAGTGAACAATCAACAAAAGTCATAAAAACTGCGCGAATTTGGATCGAACAGCTTCGCTTCAATGCAAAAGTAAGTTCATTTGACAATGAAAGAAAAAATGAACACGAGTCAAGCCAAAACAAACATCATGAAAACTGTTAGAAAGTGGTTCTGTTGATGTTGACGGGGATGTGCTCGAAGAGAAGACAGAATGATTTTCGAATGAACGTGACTTTGTGGGGCCCTGGTAACAAGTACTACCCACTACTTTTATTCGGTTGTTTTCTAATCAGTCGAGCTGAGTTTTTGCCGGTCATTAGTTTAGGGTCGACACTAGTCACGTACAAAAATCAACTTGGTTCGTTAGAAAACTGCCGAAAAATAGCGGTGAGTATAACTTATTTCCTACCGCGCTCTTCAGAGGATTACAGTATATCATGGAAATGAGTTAGTTGTCTTCATCTATGTGATTCCTAATGTTCTATTCGTTGTTCCCTAGTTTGAAGTGGTTAAGACTAGGGTTCTGATGCATGGTCATTATCGGTGTCATACCTTAATTTTGTTGCTAAGGAATCCAATTTTGACTGACAAAGGGGCGCGCCTTTGGAGGGTGTTTCAAAACTCCGAAGGGTATAAATAGCGGGACCTTTCAATTACAGTCGGATCCTTGCGATAAATGCAAGAGTGGCAACTGTAAAAAATCGAATACTTCATCATTTTTCAATAGTGATGGAGTAATACGACATGCACGAAACTAAGGACACGGGATATACTACAATAGATCAATTTACTGGTCGCAGTAGTGTTAGGTCCCGAACACAGGAAAAAAATATCATGGAATTCCAGCAACATTCAAGAGAATTAATCAGTAAGTTTAAGTAAGTAAGTAATTAATGAATAAGTAAGTAAGCAAGTAAGTACACAAATAACAAAGTAAGTAAGTAGGTAATTGAGCAAGTAATCAAATCAGTAAATAACACATCACCTTTCTGGCCGATATATATATATATATATATATATATATATATATTTCGGGTTCACATTTATTTCCTAAAAAACAGCATAATTATACCACAGTTGTTTCAAACATCGCACCATTTAAAACAGAAACACTGAAAGCTAACAGCACTACAGTGTTGGTGGCCCACTTGCGCCACTCAACGCCGTTACGACATTCGTTTGATAATAAATTAATTCCATTTGAAACGGATACGCTCCGACAAACACTTTTAAGTAAATCAGTTTCGCACTTTTTGCACCTAATAACTACTACTGAACAAAAATAAAATCTCTAACATTATTGTTAATCGTTAGGACAATCCTTCTTGGAAGACTTCTGTTTTGTTCCCTTTCTCTCATACTGTAAAATGCGTTTTGGTTCTAGAATCCTCTAGTTTTGTGCAATAGCAGCTGTGAGACGGTCGATGGGTGATTAGATGAAAATGAGCAGGACCGGGTATGGCAGGAAGATCACACATCATCGCGCCAATCACTTTCGGACAGAACTTTCAACGGTTTAACCTCCTCTATGAAGGTACGGTCAGTCTAGATTTGCTATAGTGAATGATGAAATGGATCAAGGGTCATCAAAGGTGGGTGAAATCCGATTTGATAATTCCGTTACGTTTGGTGATTTCAATCTGCAAAATTTTGAAAGAGGACCATAATAAGATGTCGAATTTTAGGTGCAATCAATTCGTTAGTATTACATCGCCTCCATTCTCGATGTGTTTGGCAAGGGCTCTCCTCATTCGTTTGGCAATCGGTGGTGAGAATAAATCCGTATTGATGCAGGTTTTGCTGCTATCAAGGTAAATTCGATCTTTTCCTTGATATCCCAACCATATTAAGATCAGACTGGTTCCGTAGCCTATCACAAAGGTTACGATATATCCTATGACCACCGACCAAAGATAGGATAGCCGGTATAGGTAGAAGTAGTCCGAATCGGGTCGGTCTGCTTTCAGTGCCATCACCATTGGTAGCGTGCTGTTGTAACCACCAAAGCGATCGCAGTTTTCGACTGAAAAGTCCAACATCTTCGGTGGAGGCCTTGGTTGACCGAAACCTATCCAAAGTGATATTGCTATGCCGAGTCCGAGACCGGTGATTACGCCCTGTGAAATGTAAAATTGTTGACATAATTAGAATCAAATCATGCTTAACCAAGTCACTCACCCGTTGATTCGCTCGCTTCGTAAACATTCCCATCGAGAAAAGGGCAAACAGTGGTCCCCCGACAACTCCGAATATGGTTAGAGAGGCCTGTAGTACGCCACCCATGAACTGGGCTAGGAAAGCAACTCCCAAGCATATCATTCCGTACAGGAAAGCCATAATTTTCGTAGGGTAGCTAGACTGCATGTCGGGCAGGGGTCGCTTCTTAATTTTAGCGTACATAGGTTTCATGTAGTCCTCCAAGGTGACAGCAGCCAATGAGTTGAGAGCTGCTGAAACCGATGACAAACTAGCGGAGAAAATTCCAGACACAAATAGACCTGGAAGGCCGGGCAGATTTCCCATGGCATCTACTACAAACAGCGGCATGGTTTGGTCCCGAACTTTGATGCGGCCTTGCTTCAGAGGATCACAGGTACTGTAGAAATAATAGATGCAAAGACCACTGAAGGAGGTGCTCAGACTCAACAACGAAAGGATTGGCCAGTTGAGCCACAAGGCACGCTGAGCTGATTTGAGATCTTTCACAGTTTGCAATCGTTGAACCTGCGTCTGATTGACTGCGTACAGCGACAGATAAGTGAACATTCCGCCGATGACCAATGACCACCAGGTGTGTCGTGTCGTAGGATCCGGATCGAAACTAGAAAAGAAAACGTTATAAATCGAAACAGAACTTCTGGATAAAATGGATAACTCATACTTCCATAGCTCCAACCGGCCGCCTTTCTCCGCAGCTTCCCAGATTGGACCGAATCCTCCGGCTTGAACAGCGGCACAAATGATCACCGCGTAGATTGCGGCAAACATCAGGATCGACTGGAATACGTCGGTGAGCAGAACCGCTTTCATGCCACCGATCGTTGAGTAAAAGGTGCAAACTATCCCGATCGCCAAAATGGAATAGGTTTGATCCAGACCGGTAACTGCCTGCAGGGCCAGGGCCGGAGCGTACACTGCAATGCCCATGTACAGGATCATTTGTAGCGTGTAGGCCAACGAAGCCGCCAGGCGCGTCTTCTTGCCGAAGCGTATTTCTAAATACTGGAATGAATCGATCTCGGTTAGGATTCACCGCAGACAACAGGACAACTTTTACGTCTTACTTCATATGCACTGCAGGCCTGCAGTTTGAAGAATACTGGCAGGAATAGGTACGCTGCAATCGGAGTGGCTAGGCCGTAGGAAATGTTGATCACCACAAACTGCGTCCCGAATTGGTAGTTTTCGTTGGAAACGCCCAGCAGCGTGATGGCCGACATGAAGCTGGCCATCAGACTGAACGAGACGGGCCAGATGGGCATGTTCCGGTCGGCGAGCAGGTATTCCTGAAATGGTTTAAATGTATGGATCAGTTAGATTTGTTTTGATTTTAGCATTCGTATCATATCAGTTCGACTCAGAATAAAAAATAATAATGAAGGGTTGTGCCCCAAGCACGACCGCATTATTGACGTAGGACTACGAAATTGATTTTTTGCTTATTCATTTAGTTAATAATTACAAAATTATTGATTTATAAATTTTATTCTAATATGAACAAACATTCAATTCAAAGATTTGAAGTTAGGGGACATTCCATATCCTTAGTTGAATTAAATTTCATGTACCCACCGAATAATGTTTATTTACAGCAACCGGAGTGAACATTCGCTATTCAAAATGCAATTCATATTACAAACCGTTTTAAAATAAATGTAAGTACGTCATTCCATAATATTACATTTTAATGTTGCAAAATTATGGTAAAGGGTGATACGGTCAAAATTTGGTCAAGGGAAAACGCGTGTAAATCGGTGAAATCGTTTATTTAAAAAATCAAATTAAATTTCTTTTTCAAGTTCAATCAGTATGAAATTCAGGAAAAATATTCAGTTAGGCTTCCGCTTTTCCAAATCCGAATTGCCGGGCCTTACGCTTGACCCCTGCCATCAGATTTTGTACAGCCACCTTGTCCACCTTCTTCGCCGCAGAAAGCCAGTTTGCCTTGAACTGCTGCTCGCCCTTAGCAGTTTTTTGGTCTTCTTTAGGTTCCGCTTGACAATAGCCCAGTATTTCTCAATTGGGCAATCTGGCGTGTTGGGAGGGTTCTTGCCCTTGGGAACCACCTGCACGTTGTTGGCGGCGTACCACTCCATTGCCTTTTTACCGTAATGGCAAGATGCCAAATCCGGCCAAAACAGTACGGAACAACCGTGTTTCTTCAGGAAAGGCAGCAGACGTTTATTCAAACACTCTTTCACGTAAATTTCTTGGTTGACAGTCCCGGAAGCTATAAAAATGCTGCTTTTCAAGCCACAGGTACAGATGGCTTGCCAAGCCAGATATTTCTTTGCGAACTTTGACAGTTTCATGTGCTTGAAAACATCTGCTACCTTTCCCCTTTCTTTTGCCGTATAAAACTCCTGTCCCGGAAGCTGCGTGTAGTCGGCTTTGACGTAGGTTTCGTCGTCCATTACCACGCAGTCAAACTTCGTCAGCATCGTCGTGTACAGCCTCCGGGATCGCGCTTTGGCCGTCGTATTTTGCTTATCATCGCGATTTGGAGTCACTACCTTCTTGTAAGTCGATAGTCCGGCTCGTTTTTTGGCTCGATGCACGGTTGTAGACGATACACCCAGCGTATTTGCGGCATCTCGGAGAGAGAGGTTAGGGTTTCGCTTGAAACTACCGGCAACTCTCTTTGTCGTCTCAGCGGCTTCCGGTTTTCGATTTCCCCCCGATCCAGACTTCCTGGCTGTCGACAAACGTTCCCCAAACACTTTAATTACATTTGTAACGGTTGATTTGGCAACTTTTAGCGATTTTGCCAACTTTGCGTGCGATTAGCTCGGATTTTCGCGATGCGCGAGCAAAATTTTGATACGCTGCTCTTCTTGCTTGGACGGCATTTTGACAACTGAAGAGTGAATTCCAAAATCAAAATAGGAGCAACATTCTACACACACACACACCTTCAAAATGAGGGGTGTTCAGGTTTTTTAAATGCAAAATTGAAAGAAATACGTCAAGTTGATATTGACCAAATTTTGACCGTATCACCCTTTAGATAAACTGAATCCCATTTGAGTTTGTCCTTTATCTGTGTTCAAACAAAAATCTATCAAATAGCGAACGCTGTAATTCAATAAATTTAACGTCAATTAAATTGTTTCATATTAACATATTTTTGTAAGTTTGGACTGATTTAACCTCGTTTACATAAGGCATAGGGCTGTATTTAAATTTGCAAACATTATGGTACCATTTTGGTAAGTCTTTGTCCGGTTTTGTTTCGCTGATGTATGCCATGAAATTTGCAAATCGTATACTGACAAATCAATAAGTTACAAGCAAATACGTTACATTCGTGTAATTTCCATTTCACATTTCGGCAAAATTTCGATTTAATGTATCATTATTTCAAAGGCATACTTAATTCCCTGATGACAGAACTCTGAACTAAACTGTGCAACATCCAATAGGTTTTGTGCATCTGAACAACTCAGCCATGAAGGAGAACTTGGTGAACTCGGTGATGCGAACTATCTACAAAACCGTTTGCCGACGATGCCGTTGAAGAAAACGCCGTACGAGCTGTGGTATGGCACGAAGCTGGACATGAGCCACCTCCAGATGTTCTGTTCACCGGCGTACGTGTGGATCCCTGGAGAGAAGAGAAGCAAATTAGAAGCGAAATCTCGGAAGTTGCTGCTCGTTGGTTATTCCTCCCAACACAAGGCGTACCGATTCATGGACCCAAACAACGACAAGCTGACCGTCAGTCGGGACTGCAGGTTCCTGCCATTGGACGAGGTTCGGAGTGCCGAACCTCAGAAGGGAAGTATCGTTGATTATCCATTTAGATTCCTAGAGCAACCGAAAGCTGAGGTCCCCCCCGCAAACGTGGACGAGAGCGAGGACGAATCGGATGAGTTCGATCTCCTCGGGTTCGACGAGGACGAGAGCGAGGACGAATCGGATGAGTCTGATCTACTCGGGTTTGAGACCAGCTACGACGATGCCAATGAGGAGACGTTTGTGGAAACAGAAGCGCAGGAGGAGCTTGAGACATCCGACTATCAGGAGGAGTAAGACGTCGTCGGCGAAGTTGATGTACCAGTATTCCGACGATCGGAGCGTACCAAAAAGGGCATCCCGCCAGAACGGTACCAAGACACCGTGCGCAATATGTCGACGAGCCACGCACATTCGAAGAAGCAATGGCTAGCCCCGAGCGCAACATGTGGGAGACAGCCATGGAGGAAGAGATGAAGGCGCATGAAGAGAATTCCACATGGGATGTCGTCCGTTTACCGCCAAACAAGAAGGCTATTGGCAGCAAATGGGTATTCACGAAGAAGATGGACGAGGGCGGAAACCTGATCCGCTATAAGGCTACGCTGGTAGCGCAAGGATTCAATCAAAAATATGGAACCGACTACCATGAGGTCTTTGCGCCAGTCGCCAAGCAAACCACTTTTCGGACCCTGCTGAGTGTCACCGCCAGACGAGGAATGCTGGTGAAGCACGTCGACGTGAAGACGGCGTACCTACACGGAGAGCTGGAGAAGACCATTTTCATGAAGCAAGGGCGACTTGCCCAAGGACCCCTTCCTGTTAAGAAGATCCGTGGAGACGTACTTGAAAGCGAAGGTGGATTCTGCTTACCCAGAGGGCCGCGGAATTTCCTACGTTCTCAAATTGAGGACCCCAGCACTAGTCAACAAGTTACTAGCGATGAAGGAGTTGGTAGGCGGGTTTGCCGTCAAAGTGAGTAAACACCCACTACTTAACGTTAGCAAGTGCGTTGTCTCCTGCCAGGAATCGACCAACTACACGGACGATAAACTGTTGGAAAATCTACGCGATCAAGGTGTGAAGGAACTTCGGAGGATCACGCGGAACGGAGGACCCAGCCAGCACAAGTTCCTACACCGACGGTCATCCTCACCATCAACGGAACGGTCATCCCGAAAAACATTGACTTTGGTTGGATCAGATGTAAGCCTCGCTCGTATTACCCCAGCCCGATGCTGTGCTACAGGTTTTTCACTTTTGCCACACAAAGGCTCGGTGCCAAAAGGATGTGTCTACCTGCGGCCGCTGTAGCCAGGACCATCTCACCGTCCCCGAACAACCATGTTCGCCCAGTCTTCCTGCAGCAACTGCAAAGTGAATGAACACTCTGTATCTAGCCGTTAATGCCCTATCTACCGGAAGGAGGAGGCAATCCAACGTATCCGCGTTGACCAGGGGATCTCGTACCCCGCTGCACGCCAGGCCTACCAACAGCAGCATGGCTCCAAGTCGCGGTCGGCCGTGGTAAATGCCAGCAACGAAACACGCATTAATGAATTTGCCGCCAAATTAGATGCCGTTCTGGTCGACGCCTTAATGAAAATTATCGAGGACAAGGACAGGATACTCGCCGAGAAGGACGCCCGCATCCAACGTCTCTTGGTAATTCCACCCGATCGCCCCCTCTAGCCAAAGCCACCAAGACACCGCCACAGAAGGATCTTGTCCGGCACATTCACGAGCTCCGTAAACAGCTGAAAGACAAAGAGGCTGAGATCAAAGTCGTGAGCAACCCCACGGCCGAGAAGGCGGAGACCAAAGCCCCGAAAAAATCCTGGGCTGAGAAATCCAAATCCTCCGAATCCCGAAACAGCACCAATACACAGAACTCGAATATCAGCGAATCCGAAATGGAAGACAGCCACCCGAAAACCAAGGTCAACAAACACACCACACACCAACCAATCAGCAAGCAAAGCGGTCAAGTTATGGACACCCAAACGAACAAGGAAGACACAAGTAAGAAAATCCTTAACACAAGCACTGGAAAGAGGACACTTAGTCTGTCCTCTCGCAATGGTGTTAAGCCCAGAAGACCTAAAGGCAATTTGTCCACTTTGCCGTTACCCATATCGGACGACGACGACCACGAGATGTGCAATCCAGAACCCAGTTTCGCTTTTTCGTCTGACGAGGTAACAAACCATGACGTCGATAAGATGGACTACTAAATATTTAGACCCCAAACCCACCACTACCACCACACTACTAACAATGGCCACACAAGTACCATCCACTGACGAATATGAAAAAGGAAATAAATTATTTATCCATGACCCCCGCAACCCACCCGACGCTCCCGAAGAACACCAAAACACAACCGACACTCTTTCGATAGGCCGGTCATTTCTGCCAGTAGTGGACCACTCTACGATGCCTGCTACCGGTGGAACCCTGTCCGGCTCTACACACCTGCAAGACACTACACACACAACCAACAATGAAGGAATAGGCCAAACAACCTCGCCTGACCTCATACTCCCTCGATCGGATCCTGGAAGACACCAATACCTAGGACGCTTATCCGAACGGATCAGCAGTCAAGGCACTGACCGACCGGAAGTCTCCGGAGAACCGTAACGGACGGACACCCCTCGACACCCTTCAGCGGAAGAAAGGTAAAAGATTTGGCAAGTCGCATGATAACCTCATTTTCCCTTGTCTGGGTGAAGCCAAAGGACACGACGAGACGCGTGACGATGTCACACTCCCTCGTCCGGATGAAGAATGCAGCGAGACGAGTGATAACCTCATACTTCCTCGCCCGAACCAAGACCGGAAGTCTTGGGAGGACCGGAACGACTGGAACACGCTTGGCGCCTTCTTGGGGACGAATATCGAACCAGAAATTCAGAACACTCCATGAACACGGCCCAAGGCAACTGTCCTTCCCCTAACAAACGGTCGAATCCCCGCCGATCGGCCAGACTAAGCCGCAGGTTGTGATCCGCCATATAAACTTGACCCACCCTAGTGTACATGAACATACAGATACTATCTCGGAAAATGCCTAAAATCGATGTTGTTGTTTATTAACACTCCGAACACGATGTCTCCGGTAAAATGTGTAACGGCAAATTGGCAATGTTTGAAAAAATCATTACTCAACAATTTATCAATAGATTTTAAACCAATTGATACTGAATAGCTCTTTAAAGTCTGCAATGTCAAGTGTCGCCAATAGATTTGAAATTCCTTAATAAATGGCTGAGCTATGATTTTTCATCGTGTTAGGAGTGTTAATTTATTTGATAAGGCTCAATCGAATTAACTTTACAGAGCCGAGGATTCTTGGTCACTATACAATACATCTTGAAACTATAGTCAAAAGGTACAACACAAAAAACACTTTATCTTCCGCTATCCAAAAAGCCTCTTCCATCAGAATTGGAGCCGCTTCCAGTGGTTTCATTGTATGGCAGTATCGCCAACGGGGGTCAGAGCGCTTCCATTGCAGCAATGGACGCAAAACGTTCCAAAATCGACGACGCATCGACTGAAAGAAATGCTGATGAAGAACAATGAAGAGGACCACACAATGGTTGCTGCCGAGAAAACAGACAATCGAGAGTGGCCTGCTTTTGTCGACAGCCGAGTAACACTGTGATCATCGAAGATCAACCAATGATTATCGTCTATTTTGAGAACTTCTACCGATTGGATCTCCGTAGAACAATGAGAAATGTTAATGGTTATTTGACGTAATTCTTTGATTATTTTGGTGCCTCGATAATTTTTGACATGCTAAATCATGCTTCGAAAATGTCATATTTCCCATACAATTTTGTATGGCGTTCGTATCCATTTGATTATCGTACGTACATATTGTAGCGTGATAATGTGGCCTCTTAACACACAAGATATAGAAATTTTCTGATGCTCAAAATTGGCAAGCAGATAAATTTAACAAACCGGTCAATTCCGTATCCGATCCTGCCATGCCTTTTCGAACTTGACTATCGGGATCAATAATAATAAGTTAACTCCTTACTAATGCATTCTGGTGCTTTGATGTCTTCAGCAGGCTAATAGGTAATTCAAGTTCATAAAACCGCACGCATTCCTAGAACAAAAGTTGAAGTTTTTTTTAGCATAACTAAATAAAACTTGCCTGGGGCTTTGGTTCTTCAAGTATCTTTTATCGATTGGAAATTTCCACTCGATGCATTCCACATTGAGTCGAACGGAAAACACGCCACCTCAGGTGATGTCTTTCACATCACCACGACGCTGATCGCATGCTATGTAAAAACCATACCAAAATATCAATGTGTTGTAAGCAAGGAACATAGGGTGAATTTGCTTTTTGTGGACCATTTCCCCTTTGTGAACCACTTACGAAATAATTCAATTTCACATAAACATTCATACGATTTACCGGATAATTCGATCGGAAGACATCTTTTATAGCTAATCTGCACCTAAGTCATGCCTAATATCGCTCAAATACTATTTAAAACAAGGAGAAAATACATTTTAATGCAAAGCACGGTAGAAACTAGACAAGAAATTTTAATGTTTTCTTTAGTGGACCATTTGTTTTAAATGACAATTAAACAACACATGGGACATTTTGGCATGCTTGTTTTCAGATTGAATTAAATATAATAACTCCATCTATTGTTTATATCTTGTTTAAAAGCTGAAATCTCATGTTAAATGGGATTTTGTTCTAGACGAACCGTCATAGGATGTAAACAATCGTATAACGGACCGCGGGTGGTCCCTAAAAGGTTAATGGTGGCGGTTGATAGTCTATTTAATAAAGAAATCTAATCTAATTTAGGTAAATGGTGACTTCAATTTGTAATGCAGATTTTAGTGGTTAAAATAAAGTTATTTATTAGGTGCAAACCTTATTGAAAACTATAACTAAAAGGTCATGCATTTAGCGTAAATAGTTAAAACAGTTGCCCCCTAGTCCATAATAGGCCAATTTACCCTAGGCATGTAAAATAATCGTCCGTTCCAAAGTATTGAGCAAGCAATTTTGATTGCTAACCCTTTTTACTTCAACGGCTTCCACGTGCATGTGCTCTATAAAGCGCATTTCAATTAAACGGCTACCAGATCGAGTACTGCGTCGCGAAATTTTCAACCGAAAACGAAATTCTGAGCATTCATAAAATTTTGCTTACCATCGTGGTTTTCTGCTTGCCACCCGAGAACCTGTAGTAGACGCCGATGCCGGCCGATACGAGGAGCATGGCCACGAATACCACGTAGTCCCAGACGCCGAACGAAGTCATGGTGACGGGTGTTGGTTTTTTGGTTGACCTGCAATTAGAGAATAATTTAAGATTGCTCGTTAGCGAGAGATAGAACCGCTTGGTTATTGCAACACTGATTGTCCCGTTGAGAAATTGCACGACTGTTGTGTCTCTTTATTATTTAACGTTTGGGTTAGTTGGAATTACCAGATTTATTGCATGGGTGCTTCAAAATGGGATGATATAGCAGATAACACGGTACTTTACTGTTTATTACAAGTGTCTTGTTTGGACTCTTCAATCATCTCAATTGGACGTTGGACGACGGCAGGGTGCTGATAATTAATTACATGATAAGTCTTGAAGCCATAGCAATTCTTCGCTGGTCTCTCTCGATAGTTATGCTTTTTCCTGAGGCATATTATAGATTGAAGAAAACAAAAAAAAAGACACAGTTGTGTTTTGCATACGCGTGAATTTGCATACAATCCAGACCGGTGGATGTAAAATCCAAAAATGCTATTTTTGCTCTCATCGGCAAAGTGTGGTGTGTGGGATTGGAGAGTGACTTGTACATTCAGGTCAACTTAACGTTGTGGATCCAATAGAAGAAAAAGGCGGCGTAGTTTGTAAATTTGTATTAACAAAATATCATCGGAGTTGAGTTTATTCAAAGTTTGCATCCTCTTTTGCAAATGATAATCTTAAACCGTATAGCTGCGCTTTAATTGCTGAACACATGTGTCACTGTAGGCAATCAAAATTGCATGTAATTCATCAGTAAAAATCTCTTATCAGCTTTCCGGCCCAACAAGTTCTCATTTACATTCGCTTCTTATTCGAGTTGTCTGTCTCACGTCCGTCCGTTATCAGAGGATGTTTTAAGCAAATGCGGAACATCGGCAACATTGTTGTTTAAGTGACTGAGTAGGTGGTACTTTTGGCTAACCCAAATGGTTCGCAATAAAGATAACTATGTCATTCATTAACAACATGACAACTTGTACAACATCTGAAGCGTGGCAGTATTTGGACCGGTTGACACCAAGCGGTAGTAATCTGTGAACTTCGCTCGGCCTCAACGTTTAAGCAATTTCGTCAACGGTCGTCGTTGTTGATGAGAATGAATTGCCAGTTCGTTCACGTTGTATATCAATTATCTTCTGTTGATTGGGACTGCCGCGACTGAGCTATAAATTGAATGAGGCAAGAGGTAGCAACCAAACAGGAACGCTCAAATCGTTCTGCTATCGAATACCCCGACAATAGACCGTCATTTCCTCGACGCAGATAATGGAGGATGATTTCTGAAGAGACTCTTAGGTTGTCCAGATTCGTCATTTATACGATGAACAGCACTTGAAAGTTGTTTGTTGTGGTAATTGAACAAACCCCGTAGAAGGGCGTGTCGAATGCTTTCTCCAGTTTCTTTGCGAGTTTTTGAAGCTATCCTACTAAATGGTTTTTTTTCCATTTTGTTTATCCACATGTGTCCTTGAGCTTGATCATTAACCCTGCACAGAAGACAGAAGGTATTCTAAAACCACAAACCATAAACGGGTTTCCTCTTCTCTTTATCTGGACGCTCATTCTCGTTAGCTTCATACATTTTTAACAATGGTCTACACCGTTTGAAACATTCATGTAAGGTTCTGCGATTTTTGCGTAGCTAGATTTGGCATAAATTTACACGATATACTCAGGGTGGCCACTCAATTCATAGATTTGAATTCCCGGTTTTTTCCTGGTTATCCACCGTACTTTTCTCGGTTTACTTATAAAATGGAATACCTGTATGGATGATTTCATAACTAGATGTCGCTAGTATAATTTTTTGTTGCGTCCAAAGCACGACCGCGTTGTTGACGTAAGACCACCGACAAATCGACATGAAACTTAAACTTAACTCTTGAACGAGAATTCATAACGGCCGATTCAAATGTACAGCGATCCCATCTGTCAAAACCATAGAATTATTTTATCTAGATAAAAATAATTTGTCCGAAATAGATTAGACACGAACCAACTCATAAATTTTGTACGCGTGTTCGTGGCTAGGATGAATATTTTCCGCAAACACGACGGCAAATGTCAGTTTCCCTGCACTTCGGTCAGAGAGCGTATAGGGCGTCGTTGTGCCAATTTGGTCGTGACACATTTCAAGTATGAGAGAGTAATTGCAGTTTGATCAAAAGTGCCTGAGAAAAATGCAAGTACTTTCACAGATTACCCGAAGTTGCGATAGTGAAGGTATTATCGCAGACAAGCAGACAACACTCTTAAAACGTTCATAGAAATCGCTTTTAACTGTCAATTTAAATGTTTCTTAGTTGGTAGTACTGCCACTGGTTGTGCACATAATCAATTCCCTAGCATTTGACGTTTACACACTACAGCCATCTGTTGAGTGTATTACCCATCATAGTGTATACGACAGATGGCGTTCAATGTGTTGTGTATGTATGTCTGTGATATAACATCGAGGTAACGTTAGGATAAAATCAAAACATTGAGAAATATAACGCATCACTCTCAGAAATACTTTACTTCGCAACCGATGAACCATTCTGACGGCCATATGAGTACCCAATTAACCATATAGTCGCAATATAGCTTGTTTATCTTACTTTTCTTGAGTATGGTTAGTTGGGGAATTTGATGAAACTGTCACTTCTTGAAACTGATCCTTTTCGTATTTCTTTCATTCTCTTTTTGCACACGAGCACTTGGTGGACCAGCGACTTTGGACGTGAGCCTCGTCCTAAATCACCATCGCAAGATAGTGGACATAGAATGAATATAGTGGACATGAAACCGACCACACCAACCAGTGAGGAAGGAGTCAACATCGAATCAGGAACGGAAATCAGTCCGAATTTATCTCCCTCGGAAAATAAGAAAAACCCGAAAAAGGCGGAATCATGTTAGAACCAACCAAAAAATTTTCGGTGAAGCACGGAATGAAATACGAAGCGTTAGAGAAAAACTCCAAGGGATTCCAAAAGAAGTAATCAACGACGGCGGAAGAGCACAATATGGTAAGAGCTGTCCAAATTTAATATCAAAATTAAACTAAATACACGCCAGGGTTGAAACGAATATTTTCCAACCTGGAAGTGTGTATGTATCACCAATATCCATTTGATAACGGTGATGCATACATGCGGGGCTTATTGTGAGTGAAAGTAACCTCGGAATTGGCGTGGCTCTCCAGACATTCTGAAATGGGCTGCTGGATCTGCAATAGAGCTATCACCTTCTAACTCCCGGACTAAAGCTGTATACAATGACCATAAATGCAACATTGTAGAGAGAGTTCTTCCATAATAACACTGCCGGCCAGTGGGGGTTAGAGGGAATGCACACTAGACTGATGCAAAATTTCACTTTTTCGCTTCACAGTGCTTAAATGGTTTCAAATCGGGTCCTGATTAGCCTCCCAAAGTTACAACTCATTTGGTTAGAAACAGACTTCGCACAAGCCATTTGAAGTTTGCTTGTAAATTACTAAGGGAAATCTCAACTTTTTGTTCATTGCCTTCTAGTCTTTTTCCATATTGCGCTGCGAAACAGTTCGATAGCCATTCTTATAGAAAATATACTTTGCTGAAGATCGTTTCTATGTAAAACAAGACAGGAAAAAGTTATTAATTATTTAAGAGATTGGTAAACTTATGACATGATCAAGCAGCTGCTCTGTAGGCAACACTGTATTTTGCAATGTGACATAGTAGCCATGATTTTTGTGTCCTATTCAACGCCCCAGAAACACCAATGTTGCCTGCTGAGCAGTTGATTGAGCATGATCATAAGACATTAGCGCATTGAACCATTGATAACCTTCGATCCTTGCATAATCAAAATGTGGTATTCAGCAAAAATGTAGCTGGGAAAATTTCCTACAAGTACAGTTGAAAGTTTTTGAAGCAGACCGATATGGTGAATTATTAGATGGACATGAACAAAAATCTTGTTTTTACCATAGTAATTCCCATACAAACTTCAAATGGTTTGTGCCTTCTCAGTTTCTCACCAAATGGGTTCAAATTTTGAGAGGTTAATCAGGATCCGATTTGGAATCGTGTAAGTATTGTGGAGCGAAAATTTCAAAATTTGCATCATTCCAATGCACACACACGGCGGCAGATGTCAGTTTTGTCCTGTGATCAAAAATTTCTTTGTAATTTGTATGTTCATTCATGTCGGTTTGTCGGTGGTAAGACTACGAGATTATGTTTGCAGCTCCATTCAATAATATATCCATAACAAAATAAATTGTTTAGAAATTTAAGTCTAAAATGAACTATTTTTTATTATTTTGTTGTTAAAATTGGGCGATTATTGAATAAATCCTAATATTAAGATTCAATTTTTGAACTTAGAAAATCAGTAGCTTTATTATTAATAATTAGATTCCAAACATGTTCACCCAACTTTCGGAAACTTACCAATGTTAGTCATGGCAAAACAACTTTAGAATTCAAAGTGCACCTGACATCACAAATCTTTATGTTGCTGAACTATGACAGACAACTTGGCTTTCGACTAAATCTTAGTTAAGTTAACTTAAAAGTTAAGTGTGCTCAATTAAAAATCTATAAAATATCAAACATTATTAATAATTCAATAAATGGAATGTCAATTTGATTGTTTCATCGTAGCATATTAAACTCCTAATAGAATGGATTAAACCCCATATATACAACATAAAGTTCTAGTTATAGTTATAGTTTTCATAACTTACATTACTCTGTGTCCTCTTTTCTTTCAAGAAAGATTGCATATATCGTGAGATATTCATATGCTTGTTTTCGTTCGAACCGTTCGAACAATAAAAAAAGTAATTTATTTATTTATTTATTTATTTATTGTAATTCATCTGACAGTATTTGTCTTAATGAATAAAACTTAGATAATACACAAAAAAGCAACAGATAAACAGATTACAAGAATAATCATAATCTTCTCAATCGGTTTCGAAATTGGTTCGATGTTTCTCCGAATTCAAATGCTTCTTCCACCGTGGAGAATGCCCGAATCATCGCAGACATTGGCTCATGGTATCCATATGCAGTCCGATGGAATCTTAGCTGTAGTAAGCCGCAACATCCTTTGAGGAACACGGAAGTTTAATTGTGAAAGCAGTTGAGGGTAGTCCACATCGCCATTTAAAAGTTTTGCTACAAATAAGGCTTGTTGCATTTTTGTGGAGGCGAACCAGCCCAAGGCTGAAAGCCTCCCTAATAAAGATAAATTAATTAATTAATTGTTGCATTTTTCTTCTGTGTTCCAATGTGTCCAGGTCCAATAGCATGCATCGGTCTGCATAAGGTGGTAAATTCATTGGATCGCGCCACGGCAGGCTGCCCAAAGCCAACCTCAAAAATCTTTTCTGTACACGTTCTATTCGGAGATTCCACACTAGCTCATATGGAGACCAGACCACAGATGCATTCTTAAGTATGGGCCGAACTAAAGAGCAATATAGTGCCTTCAAGCAGTGAGGGTCTTTGAAATCTCGTGCAATCTTCGAAATAAATCCCAGTTGACGATTCGCCTTAGAGATGATCGCCCCAGTGAAGATTGAAGGTCAAATTTGGGTCCAAAAGAACACCAAGATCAGTCATACGTTCTACTCTGCGAAGCGTTACATTGTCAATGCAGTAGTCGTAAAGGATTGAACTCTTAGAGTGGTGAAACGCCATCACTGCACACTTTGGAACGCTGATGATGAGCTTATTGCGACGGCACCAATTCACAAACTAATCTAGCAGAGCTTGAAGACGATGAAAATCCTCAATCGAGTGAACTATGACGTATAGCTTAAGATCATCTCCATAAACGAGCTTGCATTTAACTCCCAACAAAGCTGCTACATCGTTGAAGAATAACGTAAACAGTTGAATAATGCTGAGCTATTAGGGTGTTCAACACAGATGAGGCTGGCGAGCTGCATGTTTGGCATAGATGGCCCACAGCGACTCACGAAGAGCTACTGAATTCGATCAGTACCGGTGCGGCTTTTTCCTCCTTCTTCGGTGAATCGAGGGTTTCTTGAGGACAGCCTTGATAGCTAGCTGTTGCTTGCGGGAGCCTTTCGTTGTGTACTGGAGAAAAATGTACAACGCCACGCGCCGAAAGCACTGCTGCTGAAGATGACAACCGGACACCACCACACACCACAAGCGGTGATTGAATAAACACTGTTCGGCGAGATCGAATGGAATTCGATTTTGAAATCTGTGTTAGGGAAAGCGTGCTCTTTTGAAAACTGATAAAGTCTTAATTTTTTAATTAAGAATTAAAATCCATCACCTCTGGATCAAAATCAGACCACTTTCATGCCGCAACCTACTTTGGTTTTTGAACTTGCACCCCCAATGTTGCCTTAAAAATACATGGTATGTTAGATTTAAACTTATGGGAACTGACATTCGATTGATGACCTTGACAAATGTCCAGAAAATACTCTTTAACAAATTTATGGTGGTCCTGAAAAGGACCGTTTTGTCGTGATGGTTGAGTAATTGCTGAGCTATTAGGGTGTTCAACACAGATGAGGCTGGTGAGCAACATGTTGTTTGGAACGAAGATGACGCGCTTCGCATAGATGACCCACAGTGACTCACGAAGAGCTACTGAATCCGATCAAAAGCGGTGCGACTTCTACCCTTCTTTGGTGAATGGACGCTCATGTGGGCTGCTTCCGGGCAGCCTTTCGTTGTGTGCTAGAGAACAATGTTTAACGCCACGAGCCGAAAGCACTGCTGCTGCTGTTGGTGTTGATGACGATACAGCACCACCATACACGGTGATTGAATAAGCACCGTTTGGCGAGACCGGATGGTTAGGGAAAGCGCGTTTTGCAGGCAATCGTTGAAAATTTTGATCACAGTTGGACATTTGTGGAATTTTCAAAAGTGACCTATTGAAAATTGATAAAGTGTTAATTTTAGCAGATTCGTAGAAAAATTTCCAATCGATTGGTTTGTTTTAAAAATTAAAATTAATTCGTTATCAGTGGTCAAACCCTGAGCACTTTTCGTAACGCGGTCGATTTTGGTTTTTTTGAAATTGCACCCTCAATATGTTGCCGAAAGACGTAATCCTACGTCAACAAATGTTTCGACAAGAATATGGGTGATTGACAACAACAAAATTATTTGTGCTTTGTGTAGTCACCATTTCCCAAGTAACGGCTAATAAAATGAAAATTGAAGACAGACGCATAATTCCAGTAGTTTGTTGTATTCATCTGAACAACTTTTCCAAAGGCAGCATCCTTCTATGTAGCAGAGCAGTCAGACAGAGCAAGCAATCAAAAGTCAAGTGGTACCATAAGCGCCGACAGATATGTGAATTCTGATCTGAGCTGTCCAGTATACAATAGATCTTATCCATCTGAATAACTTGACTAAAGACTATCTTTACCTACCCTTTAAGAAACTTCTCCATACTAATGAGTAAAGTGACTCACTCTCTGAATAAGATTCATTTTCAGTGAATATAGACTGCTTAAGCAAGCCTTTTGAATCAAATGATGACACTATCGCTGCATGGTGAGTGTATTCTGAGCTGAGAGGCCAATCGTGCGATAGGTTTTGACCATCCGAATAAATCACTGGTGGTGAATAGGGGAACCCTTTAAAGAGTGATGAGGGCTGAAATTTTCGACGTGACGCATAGGAAGAGGAAAATATTTTCACTTTTCCTGATTAATTTATCCATCGTAGGTGCTTGAAATCGACAACCACGCCTGATCCACGTGGAATATTTTGTTTTCTGAATCGATTGTGCATTGATCCGGTAGGTGCTTCAACATATTTTTGTTGAAAAAAAATGGAGATTTGTAAAACCTTCTCAGCGGTTATGCTCTTCCGGATTTTTAATGTGTGGTTATTTGAGTTGCTTAATCAGTTCCGATCTGTAGATGGAAATTTGCAATATATGGAATAAAATATGCATTATTTTGAGTATTGAAAATGGTCATTATGATGTACACAAACGGGTTGGATGACTTTTGCCCTCAAAATCGCCACCCTACATGGTGCATAAAAAGAGCCTTAACAGTAACCTGCTTACTGGTCGTGCTGTCAAGTTAAAAGATGGAATTTGATACAAATTGCCCACTAAGCTTGACCATCCGACGAATCTAATCGAAACTAAGCGATAGTTTCAGCCTCTGGTGGTGAATAGAGTAACCCTCAAAAGAGAGATGAGGATAGGAAGAGGAAAATATTGGTACCTTTCCTGATTAATTTATCCATCGCAGGTGCTTGAAATCCACGTGAAATATTTTGTTTTCTGTATAAATTTGATATGTATGATCTGGCTGCTGCTTCCACACATTTTTGATGAGAAAAATTAAGATTTATAAAACTGTCCCAGCGGTTATGATCTTCCGGTATTGTTATTTGAGCTGTAAATCAGTTCAGATCTGTAGATAATCGTAAAATAAGTCCACTCCCGATGGCAATTTGCAAGATGTGCAATAAAATGTACATTATTTAGAGTTTTAAAAACCGTCATTGTAATGTAAACAAACGATTTGGATGACTTTTCCTCTCAAAATCGCCTAGCGCACTCAACATGTATTCTAAAACACTTTTTTTTTTCTAGCCGAGATGGCAAGCTACACTGAAACCGAATCTTACTCAGAGAGTAAGTCGCATTTACTCAAGGCGTAGTCCTACGTCAAAAGGTTTCAGTACTTTATTTTATATGCTGAGCTTTTATTGGCGAGAAATCGGCGATTGACGTGTTTGTTTACAAAAACAATTACGCCCAATCCTCAAATCACTTCGGAACTGTCTACGTAGTTTATGCACAGCCCTTACATTTTAATCAATCAATCAATCCAAGGGGATTCTGAGGAGAGCTCAAAGAGACTACTTACCGACAATAATTTCAGAAGAATGGACTACTGAGGATAGCTCGTAAAGTATATATATATCTATATGGTCAGGTTCTTATATTCTTATATTTTAAGCAACATTTAGCATTTTCACTTACTGACTAACGCCACACAGTGAGAAAATGCTGAACTTAACTGAAGGTCTGTTATTTAAAAAAAAATCGTCGTAATAAAATAACTTAAGATTTTATAGTACCTTAGTATGTACCGGTATAGCTATATACCACCTAAATAGAATTATGTATTGCATCCTACGAGATTTTTTATTCGGGCAATATTTTCTAATCCTACACTGCAGGGCTAACTCTCGCCTTCTACGCCTTTACGTGTTATCAATTGTCCCACAAGTACACATGTTTCCCATATCAGTGACAAGATCTGGCATTTACCTAATATAGTACGCGGCGACCTTGAAGTTACGCGTCATGCTCAAAATATCCCTGTTCTCTTGGATGTTTTTATTACATTTGACTCTTACCACCGTACCGGCTCCGGTGTACGTACCGATACTTTGATTTCATTCATCTTTCCATATTCTGTAGTCATTCACTCATTGATTGCACTCTCCTATTCTATTCGTTCACCAATTTTCACTCACTCTCCCTCTCTCTACCTCTCACCAAGCATGTGCTCTGTAGTCTCGACCTTGCGTGTCACAACACTATTATATCAATCTATGACGTCACATGACGGTTTGGTGAAAATCGATAAATGAAGCATTCATTAGAATGCTGATTGATTCTACTTACCACGTAGTTACAATGGTATAAAACCTCAATTATGTAACCAAGGGACTGCCAACTCGCTTGCGTATCAGATAGTTCGTACTTCGCTTTCGGCCCCTGTACCCTGGCTGATGGGTTAGAAGGAGGTGACGAAATTACGAACTTTTTGACGCCAGCAATTATAACTAATGACGATTGGCAGAATGCCGAAAACCTACAAGGCACCAACAAACCACAAGATAAACACTAAAGCACAAAATCCAACCAATATTAACACACTGCCTGAAACAACCACTGCGCTAAATGGTAGATTTGTTTTGATTATCACATACGACGTTTGAGGTTAGATTCAGTGAATTAGTTTGCATTTTCTCTGTTATTCTCCTCTAACTTCGCCGAGTGTTGTATGTTTTGCGCTTCCACTATCAATTCAATCGTTGTTGAACGCTAGAAATCGCATTGATCATAACTTTCCGTGTTTTCTCCTTTTCGTTTTGGCACTTTCACACCCGTCACATTGACATTCACTTTATCGGTATCCACTGGCTTTCGGGTGTTTTAAAAACTCATGAACGATGCCGACACGAGAACGTGAATATAATTCCCGGCTGTCAAGAATTCACACAGACGGAATAATTTAGAAGTAATAAATACCTATAAAATGTGCACACCGTTCACCATGGACTTGTGTGCGGTGATGCAGCAATCACACTCCGGAAAATTTTTAGGTCCGATTGCGACGAGAGCGCGCCTGCGACTGATTTTGACAGATTGTATGGATGGCGAACAAACGAGAGTCGGTCGCATTGGGCTTGAGTTCTCACTCTCATTGGTAATCTTTTTCTTATGTACGGTAACCGAAGGGGAAACGTTCATTTGGCTGTGAGTGCTATTTGTTTGTACCGAATGGGAATGGATACTCCAATCAAGTTTCGGATTAATGCATGGTTAACATTGACGAGTTATTACATTTGTTATAAAACTATCTTGATGTGAGTTTCTGTATAATCAACCGGTGGAAACTAACGATTTTAAATTGGCTCACACTGGTACCATAGAGGTAACTCTAAGACCACTGGGTCCCGAAGAAAATCATTATTATTTTTGGCTCACTCAGTACCAGAACAACGGTCCCAAGCAGTCCCAAGCTATTTCACTCACCCCTGCATGTTCTGCATGAATCCACACACCCCTGATGTTATCTGTCAAACTTTCATAGCGAATCAAAACAAACATAGTGTAGTAATAGAATTTCAACTAGAATAGGGTACGTTAATCGTTTGCTTGGGACCAATAGGCTACTAAAGTGGTGAGCCAATTTAAAATCGTTAGTTTCGTATTGATTGTTGCTGGTACAGCCTATCGGTCCCAAGTTCATCGATTAACGTACCCCATTCTAGTCGAAATTCTAGTACTACGCTATGTTTGTTTTGATTCGCTATGAAAGTTTGACAGATAAAATGAGGGGGTCGTGGATTTTCCTATGTTTCGAGGGGTGCATCGATTAGCTAGAGTACCATACTCTCTTCGGTCTTAAACTGAACCAAAAAGTTGAGCATGTTTCTTCGGGATCTTCTGGTCTTAGAGTTCTCTCTATGGTATGGTATGGTGAAGAGACAGCATCAATCGTCATTAGGGCAAACATTGCGCAAACATTTTCATTCTAGTACTCACCATTAACATTCAATGTAAAAATGTCGTATGCCACGTACAGTTCCAGCTCATGGCTGGTTTGGTTGGACTTGGTCGCTTTGAGTCTATGGCAAGCCATCAGTTCAGCAGTGTATATGCTTGCTTCCTTTACTATAGGACCTATTCTACACACTTAGAAATAACTAATTTTACACGTGACGGAATCCATCTTTGACATAAAAAATGAGACGTAAACAAACATGTCATGTAAAATTAATTATTATTATCTCTATTTAGGAGATTTTCAGCCGCAGGCTGGTTCATCTCCGGGAGCCCCAGAATTTACATCAATTTTTCTAAGTTTGTACCCATAATCAGGGTTGCTTCCACTCACTTGCTATAAAAAATTGTTTTTCGGAATTATATAGCAAGTGAGTGGAAGCAACCCTGCCCATAATCGCATATTAGTCCCACCTTTGCTTGATTTCCTATTCATATGGGACTGATATGCAATTATGGGCAGTATAGGACCATTCAAGAGCAAATTTTCATTATGTCGTAAGTAACATTCGCACCGATCCGAGAAAAATAAAGTTTTGTTTTGATGACCGAAAAGTTATTCCTATTTCCAATTAAACACATATAATCTCATAGTGATAGCAATGTTTAACATATTTAGCCGGGTTTAAATCATACAAAGGCAAATCGCTAGCTTTCATGCTAAGAAATACTGGTTTTTGAGTCAAAAGTTATTATACGTCGTTTGGTGGCCCCTATTGTTACTTAAGTTAAAGTGTATTTACCAGGATATTCGGGAGAATTATCAATTACGTCTCCTTACGTGCAGCCCATTCATCATTTTAGGACCACCGAAATCATCTTAGCAACAAACAGTTCGATTTATTCACTTTAATAATGAGAAAGCGAAACGACGAAAGTACACTTTTCACGGGTTTCTCAGTACTGTTACTTAAGGCAAACGGCATCTCCATAGAAATCGGGTGACTTAAGTAACATCGAAAAAAATTTTGATCGGAATGTGATTACGTCAAAAAGCAATTCGACTGGTAAATAAATTTAAAAATGGGATGTGATCCTATATTCGGACAGTATATAGTGCCGGGACGGGACATGACAATCGAGCTTCTCACTCTTCTTAATGTTTTTGAAGAATGCCCTTCGGAAAGTTGCGCGTGGTGTTTGAAGGAGTAGACCAATGATGCCAGGAATGTAAAATATTTTTCTATTTTAAATTTGGATTTTATCCGGAGTTTCTTCCGCAGTCTAGTAGCTTGAACATCATTTTTACTCAACACAATAAAAATAACCATAAACAAACAACAATACCCATCGCTTAAAACACGCAGTGCACTCAATTTTTCAACTCTCCTTTCGCAAATATAAACAAATAACAACGCCATTGACGTCAACATTGATTCCGGCATCACTGCCAGCCAGATTGATGCGATCCCTCTATCCTTTTTATTCCACGATTGCTACTGTCAAATCGACCAATCAGAAACTGGCTCGGATTTGACAGAAAATTGGCTCGAAATCGCTACCCGATTGTCAAGTCCCGTCCCAGATATAGTGTAATAGCAGGAGCATCGATTGACACTGATAGCTCGACTTTGTTTACCTTTGTTACATTCGACGTAATGAAAATTTGCTCTTGATATGATCTCATAGATGGGTCAGTTCATCCGAATAATGCTGCTCCGCACTAAAAAAAAACTGTTCTTTTCCAGCCAGATTTTTCACCCGGTCAAGGATTCAACATTCCACGGGTGCAGAATTACGCGGGCTTCACTTTACAAACAGCTAAAATCCGGATTGCGACACTTTTTTAAATTAGGTTGAACACCCTTCCGTTTTTCGCTTTTTGCGTGCTTCTATTTTTCTCACTCACGCTATTCTAAAATTACCCACAAATGGTTAAAATCTACCCATGAAGAAGCATGTCAATATTGCTTTAAATCGCTAAACAATTTTTGATTAAAAAAAAATGTATGCATGATTTATGTACACACTGCGAAAAAGACATGTAAATTTCAGTGCCCTGAGACCGACACATGCAAGCGGCCCTTTTGACATAAGAATCAGTTGAAAAGGACGAGAAAATCAATTCAATCAAACGCACTTTTCGTCGAGTTGCATATGTTTCAGTTTCAGGACACTGAATTTTACATGATATGTTTGTTTACGTTCCATCATTTACGTCAAAGCTGAATTACGTCTCGTGTAAAAAAAAAATAATTTCTAAGTGTGTAGTATTTTATACTGGAATTTTTGGTCATTCAAATTTCGATGATCTGAACACCTCTCAAATCGTGATTAGAGCCATATTTACGGAAATAAATCGATTTAATGGTATGGAAACTCCACCAGCAGACAAATGAAAATGTATGTAGAATTTAATACTGGGATTTTCGGGTATAAAAATTTCGATGATCTGAACACCCCTCAAATCGCGATTAGAGCCATATTTACGGATATATATATCGATTTAAAGGTATGGAAACTCCACCAGCCGACGAATGAAAATTTATGTAGTATTTCATAGTGGAATTTTCGGGTTTGAAAATTTCGATGATCTGAACACCCCTCAAATTGCGATCAGAGCCATATTTACGGAGATAAATCGATTTAAAGGTATGGAAACTCCACCAGCCGACGAATGAAAATTTATGTAGTATTTCATAGTGGAATTTTCGGGTTTGAAAATTTCGATGATCTGAACACCCCTCAAATTGCGATCAGAGCCACATTTACGGAGATAAATCGATTTAAAGGTATGGAAACTCCACCAGCCGACAAATGAAAATTTATGCAGTATTTTATACTGGGATTTTCGGGTATGAAAATTTCGATGATCTGAACACCCCTCAAATCGCGATCAGAGCTATATTTACGAAGATAAATCGATTTAAAGGTATGGAAATTCCACCAGCCGACAAATGAAGATTTATGTAGTATTTTGCACTGGAATTTTTTGTTATGAAAATCTAGATGATCTGAACACCCCTCAAATCGCGATTAGAGTCATATTTACGGAGATAAATCGATTTAACGGTATGGAAATTCCACCAGCCGAAAAATTTAGATTTATGTAGTATTTCATAGTGGAATTTTCGGGTTTGAAAATTTCGATGATCTGAACACCCCTCAAATTGCGATCAGAGCCATATTTACGGAGATAAATCGATTTAAAGGTATGGAAACTCCACCAGCCGACGAATGAAAATTTATGTAGTATTTCATAGGGGAATTTTCGGGTTTGAAAATTTCGATGATCTGAACACCCCTCAAATTGCGATCAGAGCCACATTTACGGAGATAAATCGATTTAAAGGTATGGAAACTCCACCAGCCGACAAATGAAAATTTATGCAGTATTTTATACTGGGATTTTCGGGTATGAAAATTTCGATGATCTGAACACCCCTCAAATCGCGATTAGAGCCATATTTACGGATATATATCGATTTAAAGGTATGGAAACTCCACCAGCCGACGAATGAAAATTTATGTAGTATTTCATAGTGGAATTTTCGGGTTCGATAATTTCGATGATCTGAACACCCCTCAAATCGCGATCAGAGCTATATTTACGGAGATAAATCGATTTAAAGGTATGGAAATTCCACCAGCCGACAAATGAAGATTTATGTAGTATTTCATAGTGGAATTTTCGGGTTTTAAATTTTTGATGATCTGAACACCCCTCAAATCGCGATTAGAGCCATATTTACGGAGATAAATCGATTTAAAGGTATGGAAACTCCACCAGCCGACAAATGAAGATTTATGTAGTATTTTGCACTGGAATTTTTTGTTATGAAAATTTCGATGATCTGAACACCCCTCAAATCGCGATTAGAGTCATATTTACGGAGATAAATCGATTTAACGGTATGGAAATTCCACCAGCCGAAAAATTTAGATTTATGTAGTATTTCATAGTGGAATTTTCGGGTTTGAAAATTTCGATGATCTGAACACCCCTCAAATTGCGATCAGAGCCATATTTACGGAGATAAAAGGTATGGAAACTCCACCAGCCGACAAATGAAAATTTATGCAGTATTTTATACTGGGATTTTTGGGTATGAAAATTTCGATGATCTGAACACCCCTCAAATCGCGATTAGAGCCATATTTACGGAGATAAATCGATTTAAATTATGGAAATTCCACCAGCCGACAAATGAAGATTTATGTAGTATTTCATAGTGGAACTTTCGGGTATGAAAATTTCGATGATTTGAGCACTTGAGGGGTGTTCAAAACATCGAAATTTTCATACCCGAAAATTCGCGATTAGAGCCATATTTACGGAGATAAATCGATTTAAAGGTATGGAAACTCCACCAGCCGACAAATGAAGATTTATGTAGTATGTTATACTGGGATTTTTGGGTATTAAAATTTCGATGGTCTGAACACCCCTCGAATCGCGATTAGAGCCATATTTACGGAGAAAATCGATTTAAAGATATGAAAATTCCACCAACCCACAAATGAAAATTTATGTAGTATTTCATATTGGAATGTTCGGGTATGAAAATTTCGATGGTCTGAACACCCCTCAAATCGCGATTAGAGCCATATTTACGGAGATAAATCGATTTACAGGTATGGAAACTCCACCAGCCGACAAATGAAGATTTATGTAGTATTTTACAGTAGAATTTTCGGGTATGAGAATTTCGATGATCTGAACACCCCTTAAATCGCGATTAGAGTCTTATTTACGAAGATAAATAGATTTAAAGGTATGGAAACTCTACCAACCGACAAATGAAAATTTATGCAGTATTTTATACTGGGATTCTCGGAGATGAAAATTTCGATGATCTGAACACTCATCAAATCGCGATTAGAGCCATATTTACAGAGATAAATCGATTTAAAGGTATGGAAACTCCACCAGCCGTTTTAATGATCTTTACTGCTCGAATTATTGAGCTAGTATAATTATTGTGAAGTATACTCAGCTCGATTCTTGAAGTTATGAGCCCCTCGATCATCATACCGAATGCATGAAGATGCCTTTAGTCAAAGGTCGACGCTATTAGGTCTGCGATGAGTAGCTGCAGTTTATTCCAAATCTGAGTAAATTTCGTATGGAAAGAAAATTCTCTGAGTCAATTAATCTCAGTCGCTGAGTTGGTATGATTGGCCGTGCGCGATACTCGAATGCTAATGCTTGTAACGCTATGCCATCTTCCTTCTTTACCGACATCCACCTTCGCCATTGGCTGGAGCTTTGTTGAATCTTGACAACAGCTTTCGATAAAACGTTGGGAAAAGTTCGGCATACACTGAATGAAAAACGCTGCTTAGAATTATAAATTCTTTTATTTGAAAAAATACATTTTCGTATTCGACTATTTCAGAAATACAAACTTCAGCTTCAATACAATAAAAAAAAACTAACTATGCGCAATGAGACACGGCGACTCTAGTTGTCGCTAACATATGGCAAATGATTATAACATGTGTATAAAAAGCACTTCTCTATCGGTACGCTTTCTATGAGATTCTAATTCAATACACGCCCTCAACTTGTTAGACAATAAATAAATAAATCGCTTGTTTTGTTTAAAAGCTTTTTTTACACATTCGTTCTTTTCTCCGTTTCGTAAAATTTTTGTTTTGTTCGTGTTCCGTAAAGTAGAAGGGATTTTCTTTTTTTGAATTTTGTGTGTTTTCTGTTTTTTTGCTTTTAGGGTTTTACAAGTAAGCGTATTTGCCAATTTCTAGAATATTTTTTTTTCTCGGTTGTGTTGTTAAATATACAAGTATTTCGTCCCAGTGGAAGTCTGTGTCTATTTGTGCTTGCGGTGCAGCTTTCCTACTATTGGCAGCATGCGTAACAGTTATGCAGAGTAATACTTTATGTGTTGGTTCACTTACATTGTAATTCATACAAACTAGGAGGACACTTAGATTATTCAGATCTACGGAAAAAAAAAAAAAATAAAACGGTGGCATTCTAATATACCTACAACAAAATTACGACACATTATCCAAAAGAGAAATGAGAAATTTCAACTATATCTAAGGTTATGGCAGTTTCATATCTGATTTCAAATTCAACGTTGACGAGGTGTGGCAGATGGTGGCCGTGTTTGTTTTGTTTTTGCTTCTTCTTCTTATTTTTATTATATCCTACGTAGTTGGTTCCAATTCATTCTATACAACTTGCGCTTTTCCGTTTGGAGAAAAAATGTTAGTTGACAAACGGGACAACGAACGGTTTCTGCAGAACAGTGGGCCTGTTTGTTCTCACAAAATGGCTCTTTCAATGTTTTCGATCATTTCATTTTGAACACTTTCAGAAATTTTCTACATTAATCTAAAAACGAGCGATCGCGGTAATACTTAGTTGGACACTTTAACACTATTGGTGAGTATTTTTTGAACGCATTTTGAGATTCAGGATCTACCTTGCGTGGGTTAAAATCCGAAAATTTGTACTTTTGTATAATTCGCAAATCGTATTTCTGAACATTTCTGTTTTCGTTTTCTGAGGCACACTTTTTCTAATTCCATTTACAATATTTCGCAAGCGTTCGTTATCGTTAGAAAAGCACACACAAAATAAGATTAGTCGAGATTACAAGTTTACTCTTACGGTTTTAATAATATCAAAAGCGGCTGCGCTGTCACAATTTGCTCAATAAAACAGAACAAAGAGACAGCCAGATCTGGGACCGAGGACCAGAGAAATAGTGTGTCACACAGTGCATGCGCTATCGCCTCAGCAGTTAATTAGTCGTTCGCTTCAACCTTTTTTCCTGTCAGTCTTTAGTTGCTATTCGGCTGGCAACACTGCCTTTAGTATTTGTTTTGTTTTCGCTTGGTCCTTTTGGATCCTACCTAATGCTGGCGTGCGGTTCGCTTTTCCACTATAAACAAAAAAAAAAATCTTTTCCAAAACTATCGAATTCTGAAAAACAAAATAATGCTTTAGTTGGAGGCGAACCAGCCTTAGGCTGAAAGCCTCCTAAATAAAGATAAATCAATCAATCAATAATGCTTTAGGCGTCGTTATAGGGATTTTTCAATAAATATTTTGTTTTGCTATAAAATGGACTTAAGATGTATGTGTAACTAGTTGGCACCTCCTACTTATTGTTAATTGTCAAGTGGCAGCTCGGATAGTCGATTTTGTGCACAGTTGTCAAAACACTAAACAAATGCAAATGCACCGAAATAACGACTTATATGTTTTCGTTCGCAGTGTCCGACTTGGCGGATCAAGCGCTAAAAATTTGTGAGAGTAGGAAAGTGGCTCGGCGAACTTCACGCCAGCTCTAGGAACAGTCCTGTACTTCGGGACACCGAACAGGTGCCACAGTAACCGCCGCAACGTGCTCGCACTTTTTTGTACGGTGCCTCTAACTGTGGAATACGAAAGGAAATTTGTAATTTGCGTTTAGTGTTGTGTGTGGAAAGGTTGGCAACACTGCCGTGACTCACCCGTATCAGAAAGTTTAGCACCGCATTTTGACCCTTCGTTTCCCACTGGGTACGGGGTCGTATCCGGAAGGGAGTGTTCTCCAGGTTGATCGAAAAGTCTCCCTGCGGACACTGGCCGGTGTTGCTGTAGCAATCTCCGGCCGAGCCGAACGATTGGGGCTTTCCGGAACGGTCGGTAAATCGGTGATCGTCCGCTAGCACCTGCAGGGTGTGGATGTTGAGTCGAATCTTGCGGTAGTGCGTCGCTCCGTAGCTTATGCTCTCGTCCACCCAGTCGGCCTTGGACGGAGCACATACACCCGCATTGGCTGCCCGCTTGTTGATGTAGATGGCGTAGTTCTCAAGGAGGCCTAGGGGTGAAGAAATAAATGCCATTTTTGTTTTAAAATTTCTATTTTTGGTTTCGATGTTTTCACGGAAAACGACGGGGAAAGACGGCCACCCTTTGGATAATTGAAGCAATCAGAAACTCTTGAAAAATATAAATGATATAGAGTTCTCATTATAGTATAGTTGATGTTGTTAACAGCGTTGCCAGATTATTTTCAAGCTTATCGGAATTAAATGTTTAAAAAAAAGGTATTTAACGGTATTTACTATTTTAATTTATTATATATCTGTGCCATTTTGAAGGTAACAATCTTGTATGGTCTAATACAGAAAAAAAATGCATCTTTACACCAGATGCCCATGACAATGCAAGAAAATTAGTTTTCGTTGAAGGAAGTATTTTGCAGATAGTGACAGATGGTGAACTTGAAGATCCAGTGGAGGTGCCATGCAAAGGTGCTATATCCTAGTCAAATGGTATGTTCGAAGTTCGCTGTTTTCCTCATGGTAGACGCCAATTATATTATATTATATTCTAAATATAAATTCATTGGGTAGGGATGGGATCATCCCAACGCTTGATTGAAGCGATTTGGATGGGGAGAGTGGAATTGCCAACTCCCTTTTGGTAACATTTCGTGAATTGAAGGTGAGTTTTTCTCCCCACATCCCTTCGTATGATGGCTTTTTCTTTATCGACGATGAAGCAGAATCTAGTGGCCAGATCACGTGCCCGGAAGTTGTACGACCGGATTCTGACGAAGTACAGAGGATGCCTTCTCATGGATGGCGAAACCTCTGTCAGGATGGATTTCAGACAGGTTCCCGGATAAAAGTTTTATGAGGCCACAGCACGGAGTGATGTCCCCAGCAAATTCCAGTTTGTTTTCGCCGATACATTTCCCCGGAAATTGATGATCTGGCAAGACATTTGCAGCTGCGGACTCAAAAGCAAGCTTTCTTCAGTGTGGAGGACTAATATTCTTTTCTCGTCTTCCATCTAGAAAAGTTTTTCTAATACTGCACTGAAACACGTGTACTTTCAAAACAAATAGCTGTCAAAACATTCCAAATCCGACCACTAGCGGCGCTGCTGTAGAATAAATAACGTGTTACGTGTTAACGGATTCTAAGTGGACCAGACTTTACACTTTGCTATGATCACAATGTACTTCGTATGAATGGTTAAAGATCGCGTGTAACCCTCGTCTATCCACATAAAAGTGACTTCAAACTTTTTTTGCCTGTGGATATTTTTGACACTTAACTTTACAGCGCTATTAAAATAAAACAACAAGTTAATGTTATCTACATGTTACTCCAAGAGTTTAGAAAACATATTCTAGTCATCATTTTCTGCATATTCAAGATATTTGCACCAATAAACATTTCTTAATGTTGGCCCAATGTTACACTGTCTTACGGTATCTGAAGTTTTCAGGAGATTCTCAATGTTATTGTTAAGCTCATAAAATGTTCTAAAAGTTAATGGGACTGTCATTATGTTCTCTGATCTTCATCTAAGTTCATGAAAATTTATTTAATGTCATGAAACTGCTCCGACGTTCTCGCAACTTACCCGTAAAGACCATAAAAGTTCCCCAAAGTTCTGGACGTTCCTGTAGTCCTCAGAACTTCTCCGAATATTTTGGGTATTTTCTTAAAGTTCTCGTATTGTTCCTGAAGTTTTTGAATCTTCTGGGAATTTTATAAATTGCTTTAATAATCACTGAACTTCCATGATAAAGATCCTCCAATTTGTTTGGGTACTCATGGGAAATGGCTCTTATATTGGCCTATCGATGTAAGATTGGGTCCATGGCCATCTAGATGAACGCTTCATTGGGACAGTACTAATGGATATTTTTGGTCGCTATTGAAAATTTAGCCGATTGCTGAATTTATGTATGGGCTCAAATTAGAAGCATTCAGGCCGACATTACATCCATTTCCTAGAGATGAACTAGCCTACGACTAAAAATCTTTTAAATAAAGATTAAAAAAAACATCCATTTCCCCTATTTGTTTTTTTTAAATCCGTACAATATTTTTCAAGCATTTGTTTTTTTATCCCTAGGAGCCTAGCAATATTTCTTCACTTCTAGTGCGGCATTTTCTTCTCATTTTAATGCACAGTGATGGGTGGGTGTCCAAAAATTGCCTTATGTATTATGGTACATAGCTTTTGTATGAGAAGCGCCTATCAGACGATCGGTTTTCGGAGCTGGTTACTCATGCAATAACAACGAGTAACCACCATAGACCTTTTTGACGTTTAATCGTCTTTCTCTATCTAGCACACAGAGATGAATGGATGGTTTGTTTTCCCACTAATCTGTTTCCCTCTTGCTCGCACTCCTCGAATTTAAATGGTGCATTAGTGTGCGCCGATTAAACGTCAAAAAGCTCTATGACAGTCCTGCCTTAAATATCAATAATCACTTAATTTATCGTCAACATTGCAATTGTAATCTAAGCTCAAGGTGGCCGTCTACCCCGTTATCCCCATGGCACTGAATCGATTTCAGCCTCTTGCGACGATTTCTCTGATTCCACTCACCTGACTTCAATGTAAGATATTCGGTCGGCGCATTCGATGACATATTGTGACAGTAGATGCTGACCGGGGTGCCTGTGACATTCAACGTGTATTCCCCGTCCAGCCGGGTCCTTCGAGTCCGCTGGACGTCGTGACAGGTATAGGTCACCGTTTTGCTGTACCTCGGGCGGCAGTCCGCCGCCGGGGAACACTTTCGCTTCTGGCCGGGTCTCGGCTCCGGACATCGGTTCGATTCCGTTTTCGTCAACTCGTCGTAGCACTTGACGCTTCGTCGTTGGAATCCGTCGCACTTGCACTGTAAAATTTTAGAAGGAAAAAAAAAAAACCATTCCATTAATCATCAACTCGGCGGAAGATGGCCGGGTGTGCGGTTCGCGAATCGAGGTACAATGTGTATTGACACAAATGCTTCAGGAGAGTGTACCCTAGAAAGGTAGTGCAACCTACTCTGTTCCATCGTCCGGTGCTCCAGCGGCAGAAGCCGTGCGTTTCACATGACTTCACGTTGCTAGGTTTGTGCTTGGAGTCGCAAACGTGCGCAGTGGAGCGCCCATTGCTACAGGTAACATTACGCGTTGCCAGGCCGGCTCCGCAGCCAACCGAACACTGTATTGTGGGTTTTTTGAGTTCAGGGTTTGGTGATGGTAGTAGGCAGTAGGCATCAGTATCAGCCAGCATCAGCATATAGTGTAGCATCAGTCAGTGGAGCAGGCATATGTGATGGGCGCGTGGGATGACCAAGGTGGCAATACATGTACACGAGGATCACGTGAAGATGAAGATGGTGGTGGTGGTTGTGGAATATGGTTCGGGTTTTTACGACAAGTGGATGGTTATGAGTGTAATGACACAGTGGCACATGGAAGAGAAACAGAAATTAAAGAGATTTTAGATGCATCACAGTAGAGGAAAATTCTATGTAGGTATGTTCGAACAAACGGGATTACAACATTGCTAGAAATGTGAGCCCACCTTAGACCATGGGGATACCTCCCACCGGAACTGGCAGGTTTTGCATTTGCGGACCAGCTTCTTGGCCGGTGGAATCTTTGCGTGGGCACAGTACTTGGCATCGACCTTACGGCCGGTCTTGACCGGGTGCGGATTTTCGACAGACTTCGGGAATAGACGCATACAGACACGTTCGCCGGTACGGTAACCATCGCCACCACCGCACGTCACATTACACTAAAAAAAAAATAAGCGAGAAAACGAGAACGTATGCCAAAGAGAGGCAAACATATAAAATGGAAAGCGGTTAGAGTTTGTGCGGGTCAGGTGATGGAAAGTACAGGAATGAATAATTACAGGCTTCCAGTTAGTAATCCTCCATCTGAAATGGCAACACGACTCCACTTCAGGCGGTTTCTGGTTCAATGGGCATTCGTTACTCTCCTTGCCGCGGTGATCTTGACATAGCACCTGACGATAGCGCTTGCAATCGTCATTGCACTAGAACGAGAGAAGAACAAGAGAGAGTCTTATAGAAAGGCGCGCGTCGAAAGGTACTTTAGTACAGAATACTGGTTCAAACATCATGCAAAAGTTAACAATTTGAATGGAATTTGATTGCATGCGTTGCGCTTGATTCAATGTGATTGTCATTTTCTTTAGGGTATAATGGTATAATGACCCTGGTGAATTTTGAGATTTGGGTCTTGAACAGCTTCCTACCTGGTGCGGGAAGGCCATGAAGTTTGAATGTTTTGATCTATTCCTAATTTGACAGATGACAACATATTTGTCAGATGAGTGCCCTTTTCCGTTCCCATCGAAAAATGTATGTTCGAGTATAAACTATTCGGACCCTTTTTCTCTATCAATCTTTTGTTGATCTATGGATCTAAGATTGGGCCCATCAAATCTGCTATTTATCAATTTTATCTACTTTATCTATTTTAGCGAACATCGCTGTGTAAAGGCTTACTTTAAAATGTTATTGAAAAACAAGATAGTCCAAACCAATCTTCCTGATCTTGTTCAAATTTAGTGAATTAAATTTTCAAGTTTTTGTTTTTCAAATTGATGGTTTTTAACAAAGTGGGCAACCCTGGAGTCATACAGTCAGCTGATAAACTTGAGATTAATGATTCTATTCTGTTCGTGTATGATTCCTATAGAACCTTTATGAATTTTATGACGATCGGAGTCCTTTGGCTCCGGAGATATGGTTTAAAATTTAATCTTTTTCCTATCTCTTCTATTTATCTTAACAAGGAAGACGCGTGTCGCCGCTAGGGGGATTGATCTGTAGAAATTCGGAATAAGTTTCTTATTCTATAATGTTTCACTGATTTTTAAACTTTTACCGAACAGTTCCGTGATAGGAAAACAATACCGAACAGCCGAGGCCTGGATTAGTGTGTAGTTCTTCATAACTAAATTGGAATTCACCTTTAGTCCTACTGATATTTTTTCTAGAAATGCTTCTTAAAATTACCTGGAACTTCTAGTCAAATTCCTTTAGAATTGTCCTCAGAATTCCAAAAGAAAGTGAATTGACATTCTCATCAAAATTCTCCAGAAAATTCTTCAATGTAACAGAATCCTTTAAATTTGACATCTTAACTGCAATAGGGTGGAGCACTACTTTGGCATATGGGACCCATTTTCGTCATACGCGTCAAAACAATGAAGACATAGGGTTTTTGATCTAATTTCCGTCCTACTAAACACACCGCGCATTTTACCTCTCTTTTCTAAACGAGTTTTAACTAAAAATGGAATATTTCTGTCAATGATGACTTCTAAATTTATTCATCTTTTTAGATTTGATAAAGAGTCACAAATTGTTGAGATATTGTTGAAAATCTAATACTGCTTCTTGACTTTAAATTCGTTCTACGTGTTTCAATTCCGTAAATATTCATACAATGCGCTCTAACAGGATTTATGTTGTAGCAAAAGAACTAACGCATCGGAACAAACCTAGTTTTGATTTTTGCACGGTGAAATCATTGATATTATTGATCTTTTCTGATCGATAGAACGGAAATTGGCGATTACGATGAAGTAGCGCTCTACCCTACATACAATATTCATGCATCAAATTATTTGCTAACGAGTTAAATTACGAATGCTGTAAACAAAATTGTACGTGTCGGAAGACTGATTTCTGGGGGGTGTGGCAAAGTGAAGTGAAATGATACCTTAACACATGTTTTTAAGTCTTTAAATCTTGAAAAGTTTACAAAATTGTGAAAACTGGCTAGCCTTAAATTTTCTCATGTAATCTTCAGAAATTTCCTTCTAAAAATCTATCACTTTATAATTTTCGATCCAATGAGCCTTTTGCGTGTAACTGAGACTATTAAAAATATTTAAAAATTTCGGATTTCAAAACCTTATCTAAACTATAAAACATAATTTGACACTCTGTTGCGGAGTAGCACAAGTTTTCAAAATTAGGACTTTTGTTTTCAATTGAGGTGATTTTCGGGTGTTGGACTTGAAAATAGAATTCAGTGAGGCACCCGGGAAAAAGCCGGAAAAACCAGGAATGTAATTTCATAAATCCAGTGGCCACCCTGTTTAATCTTGAACTTGCAAAAGGATCTTTAATTTTTGTTTGCATACAAATTATTTCCATGAGAATTTGTACAGATTTTTTAGGTGCACATAAAGGGAATTCTGAGAATAAATCTCAAGGAATTCTGACGAGTATTCAAATGTTGTTATGAAAAGAGTTTCCAGGAAGAAAAAATAACAATGACTTCTTCCAAGGTAGCTATGAGAACCTCCTAATTCGTGGTGAAGCATCATTAAGTTCTATGAAAATTGTGATGATAGCATCAAATGATTTCCAATGTAGTTTCGAGGGAAATCCTAAAAGAATACTGATGAAAGTTCTTAGAAAATTCCAAGGGTATTCAAAAAGTAATTCTATAAGAGTTGAATGATTTTACGAATATTTTAGAAACACAAATTGCTAAGGAAATGCTTAGGAAAATGATATGGAAGTTTTAAGGAAAAGCTTGGCAGAATTTCAAAATAATTCTGAAGAGAACTCTGAGGGCATCTGATTATATGTCCACGAGAATATTGAGGAGAATTCAAATTTCAAATGAATTGAATGAATTTCGTGTATATTATAAGGAGAATTCCAAGGAAGTTATAAGGAGAGCTCGATGGAAATGGTGAAGATAAATCCAAACGAATTCTTAGGAGCAGTTCATATAGTAGTATATAGGTAGTAATCCTAAAGGGATTCCGCAGCAAACTAAACGGCTAGCTTCAAAGGAATACGATGGAGTATTTAAAGGTGATTCCTTGCAGCGTCTATTTTCGCACTATATTTCGCAATTTCAAAAGTCAAAATATTAGGGCGACACAATATCAGTTTCGACAAAATCGATGCCTCTAGCTTTCTTCTTGCTGTCTAAGTCGAGTAGTTGCGTATCACTCTAGCACCTCAATCGGCGTCTTCAAACAAATGTTCAATCGTTTGCCTCTCTTTCTCCCATCCGTTCATTCGTGTTTCTTTCAAGCTTCACAACTTTGGAGAAGCGAACGAATGAAAGAATGACAACTCATTGTCTCTAGTAGCAAAACGGAGCCGAGGGACTAATATTAATGTACGTTTAGGGTGATTGAGTTTTTCATTTTTCTTCTCCCCCAAGGTGAGCAGCAAGGACACGAAGGAGAGCTAGGTCTTATGCTAAGCCAGGTGTTCACACCGAAATCCAGCAGTAGCACACCCCAAGAAGGATTGCAGCTTGGGAAGACCAAATTGATGGAGGTCAGGAGGAGGATCAATGAACTCCATGACTTCATCAAGGATAAGAGCAACGTCCACAAGGCAATAAAGGAAATGGTGACGGGCATCAAATCCGCCATTATTGCTGCCGAACGTGAACAGGATGCGCTGAGGACTGCGCGTAACTGCCGAAAGGGCACTGATCGAGGCCAAGGAGAAAGCAGAGTGCTGATTGAACCACCGACCGAAACGGATGTGTTTTGTTTCTTCTGTGCTTTTTTTTGCTGCTGAAAACCTTTTCGCATGCGTTTTGTTCTCGAGTGACTGGAGGTGAACTGGTGATCGCATTTAAAAGTTTTGAATACCGTGCGTGATTTTTTTTTTTTTTTTTTTTTTTTTTTTTTTTGATCTCTTGTTGCTTATGCAATGGTGCTTGGTGTGGTCTTGCGTTTTTCTTTGTTGCCCCGTACAACCTCTATCACGCTGATATATTTTTCTGTTGCTGCGATGAGCAACTTCTTTGTGTGGTGTTAAAGAAGACAGTCCGAAAATACATGACCTTGATTATGCGTGGAGTGCGTTCTTTTGTACGTACGAGCTAGAAGAGCGTTATCAGTGATTGCGGTGGTTCAAGGAAAATTAAATAAAGCATTTCTGAAAACATGACGCTGCAAAGTCTCTAGGCCAATCGGGTGAGATCTTTCCATTTTATCTATTTATATTTTATTTTTTGTCACTGATTTATCAAATGCTCTATATTGACGAATAGAGTTGCCAAATCATTCACCCTCCCACTAACACAACTCTTTCCTTCCTGTGACACCTATGAAGGTAGTATGGGTTCCCTGCACCTTCTTAAGTAGATGTTGGATTAACTTTCCCTCCCTTCCCCTGCGATTGTAAGGATGTGGCCAGGTGTATAATGCGATGCTTCTATTGTAGATTTTATTTTCGTGTGGGGAAAATCACTAATCCCAAGTGATATTTTCTGCGTCAACACTCGATATTTTCTGCAAAACGTATTAGTTGACCATTATATAGCCACCCACGATTTGTACAATCGCATATGCTATGCTATGCTATGCTATGCTATTGAGTTTTTCATTTTTCTTCTCCTGTTTTATATTGTTCGCCATTGCTTCGTACTCGTATAGATCATTCAAATGCTTCTGCATTTTCATCACCTCTTCATGCAGCACCTCTATTCCTTCCTCTGTTTGCTGCCTTTACCGTCCTGTTTTTCTTCATTCTGATTTTCGTCCAGATCCGGTTGCTTTCCAAGCTGCTTTTGCAGCTAACGGGTCTTCGATTTTTGACAGGAATTCATCCGATGCCCCTCCGCCTTAGCAAGCATTTATCCTTATTCCCTGAATAGAATATACTATATTCCCCTTCCGATTGATGAAATTAAGCGAGCAGAAAATCTCCCTTTTCACGTCCATGTAAATACCTCGTACTCCCGTGAATATATCGAGGCTCAAAACAACAGTAATTTTTTCCCGAATGACACGAAAATCGATGTCCGACACCATTTTGAAATTCAAAATGATGGTTTCCAATTTCAGAAAAAGTGGGAAATACTATCAAATACTCTTAAATATGGGTATTTTCGGAATCGAAGTGACGTCTAGAGACCGGATATCGTTGTCCAACGCTATTGTGAAATTCAAGATGGCGGCATAAAATTCGCCGCCGCACGAAGTTGACTGTCTACAAGACGCTGATTAGACCGGTGGTCCTTTACGGCCACGAGACC